GTTTTACCTCTGTGCTCTGGATTGGTGAGAAAGATCCCAGTAAGTATTTGCTGAGGGTATCAGAAAGTTTTGTTTCTGATTTTTGTTCTTTTACTCGGATAAAAGGGAGACATATTAACAGTTAAAAGATGAGGGCGCAAGTGGAGCTTTTAATAGATGAAGCTAAATTGCACTTAGAAAAGAAGCTGCTGACTTGATGAGCTTCATCTAATTGAGAAAATCTGCTCTAGTTTTTCTTTTTTTTTTTTAACCTTCAAGTAGCCTTCACAAGCTTAGGTTTCCATGTTCTCCAAAGCAACCATTTATTTTCTCCAGTTACATTGTCCACAAATCTTCTCTTTGGTCCTCTTCTTGGATTTTTCTTCAAAATGTTTCACGCTTGAACTAATGGGACCTTGAGGACTTCCAATTACACTTTCTTCCACAACCTTGTTGACGATTTCCAGAACTTCACTCATTCTCGGACGGTGTTTGGGATGCCTTGCTAAACATTTGTTGGCTGTAGCGGCTAGCTTTTGCGCAGACTTCAAAGAATATTTCCCATCTAGCCGAGGATCCAAAATCTGCTCAAACTTTTTAATGTCTGCGAGATGTGGCCTGACCCATTCCAGCAGTTTCTGCTCATTTTTGGGTCGGTTTCTGTCCAAAGGACGTCTGCCAGTGATCAGTTCGTAGAGAAAGACTCCATAAGCCCACACATCACTCTTGGATGTAAGACGCCCCGTTTGAATATACTCCGGAGCAGCGTATCCAACAGTACTACCTGTGGTTTCCAAAACAAGTAAACATCACAATGCATGGGATAAAATGCGAAATACTTGAGCTCATATTCAAGAACTTGTACTTAAAAGAGTCAGAAGATGGATAGAGCAATTGATCCCTTTTTTATGGGTTCTATTCTGGAATTAAGTATTAGTATATGACTACCAGGCAGAGGAGGGAATTGGGGTGGCTTGTGCAGCTCTTGTTACATTCATACACTAGCGATGCACTATCAACATACCGCAGTGGAGACATGGCTAAAACCATCAGAAGGTCCCAGCCTGGCTAATCCAAAATCTGAAAGCTTTGCATTCCATCGGTCATCCAAGAGAATGTTAGATGATTTGAAGTCTCTGAAGATAATCTGCACCACCAAAATTATATACTCCATCAGACAATTACCGTGATAAAACTGTGCAATCAGAGAGAGGTCAATCTCTTTCTCTATAAGATGATTCGCAACTGAAATTTTTCCTAGAATAAGCACAGAAAATCTACGTCTTTTAGTTGGTCTTTCATCTCAAACAAGCTTGCCGGTGAAATCTTGACATGTTGAGTTGATCACAGCTTAATTACGCATCAAGTAAGGAAATTATATGGCCTGAGCTTTGTAAACAGCCCAAGGACATGCAACAAATGCCTCTTTGACCTCTTTTAACAAGGAACTTGCTATGTTGGTCTAATACCGGACACAAAGTAATGATGTTACTAGAAAGGTCAGGTTTATTTGTATTTTGGAAGTTGAACATTGATTCAAGTTAAAAACTGGCTTATTTGTTTCTAGGCTTTTAAATTGCTAGTTGTCAGAAGAAGATAATAAGGCTTGGAGTCAAATTCTTGGATGGACACAAGAAGAAAGGCTGTATGGCTGTGTTGTTTACAGAACATATTTGATCTTGCACATTTTTCAGGAGAAAGAACGAATTCAGGTCACTGCTAAACAACCATAACAACGGTCGGTGATTGTAGCAATCTGAACTCAACTGCTCTATAATTGAAAGTAGAAGGCTTTAGAATCTGGGAGAGTATTATTAGATCATGTTGAAATTTAGAAACTGTAGAGAACAACACACACCTGAAATTCCATTCCTTCATGAAGGTATGCTAATCCCCGTGCAGCATCCTGTGCGATCCTCAGTCTGGTGGCCCATGGCAGAGGTGTCTGAAATCGACTGAATAAATGATCTTGCACACTTCTGTTGGGCAAGTATTCATACACCAAAAGGCGTTGGATTCCTCTTTCATCATCCTCAGCACAATAGCCATACAGTTTGACAAGATTTGGATGTTCAACAATGCCAAGAACGTTAACCTCTGTCACCCATTCCTTATGTCCCTATATACACCAAAAGGGATCAAGATAGTTATTTTATGGCTAAGATTTTGCAGCGATGACAAAGAACATCAAACGATACCTAAGAAAAGAAATCTGGTTAGGGTAACACTATAGCCATAAGAATTGAGAGCTGTGAAAACCTAATGCAAGATGTTGAGAAACAGAATGAATTACTAGGGATTAAAAATATTTGTGATTGTTCTCAAGTATGTAGTGGGAGATCTAAACCTTGATTTTGCTAGGAAGGATAACATGAGATGACAAATTTGAGTTAGGCCACCAATAACCAACTAAACAATATACATACCCAATCTACGATCCTCATCAAATGTACATGATTGAGGATTCATGATTGTTTTTATCTTCAAGGAATTCGAGGTAAAAGGTGAACTTCAAGTTTCACATTTGCAATCTATACTATATGCGCTTTTGGTATTCTTCCATTCTTTTCATTGTGAACTAACACTTCACGTCGCACAAAGCTAGGACAATGATCAAAATTCTAGCACTATCAGTTAAAATGATGGGAGGAGGATTTCACCTGCAATCCCCTTCTGCTGAGCTGTTTCACAGCAATATCAAGTTTTTTGTCCAAATCCTGTACATCCCTTATGACACCCCTGTACACACCACCAAAACCTCCTTCTCCAATCATTAGGGATCGGCTAAAATTCCTTGTTGCTGTCTTGAGCTCTGTAAACGAAAAGACCCTGACGTTGCTTGGTCTTGGAGATGCGCTTGTAAGCGACATACCCACAGAAGATCCTGTGCTGATGTCCGAGACATTTAGAGAATTATATTCAGAACCTGATCTCCTCACCTCAGGATCAGTTGATGTTGAAGTAGAGGAGCGAACCGAAATAGACTTAGTAGTCTTTGGCTCATCTTTTCTGTCCGTGTTTGAGAATGAGAAACACCTCATAGCCCTTAATTTTGCCATTTCTCTAACTGCAAATTGCAAATCTCTCTAGTCATGGAACCATTAGAAAACAAGCGTTGCACTATATTTTTACATCAATTTGTAAATTTTCGCCTTATCTGTACTTTTAAGAAACTCTTTAACTAAGAGAATCGATGAAGTCAGTAAAATTCCAATACAAGTTTGTAGTGCAAATGCAAAAACTTGTCTTTGTTCTGAATAATCAACACAGATATTCCAAAGATTATAAGAGGGAATAAGAAAAAAAAAGTTCGTACAATTTGATTAGAAAAGCTCTTCCATCCTAGTGAATCACCATTGCAGAATCAACAGATTCAGTTTGTTTGCGCACAACTGGAATTTACATGAATTATGCCATGCCATTACTTTTGCCTTATTTTGGGCCCTTTTAATAAACACTGCGATGGTCCGGTCTGCTTCCAGAATTACCAAATTGTTTTCCGTCATTGCATCACTTCCTTATAAGTTCCTTCCCAACTAAAGGTTAATTCCTTAAATTGCATCTACACTTGTCCCGCAAAATTCTTGATCATAATCTTATCAGGTTCATAGATTTCCTAGTCAGTTATCATTTACAAATATATAGAAGTTTAAATCCATTTGAGGAACTAGACAATGAGAAGACAACTTTCACATGCAACTATGCACATATGGACCAAACACGCACATGAAGAAGTAGAAGATGAAGAAATATGCATACCTCAGGTAATAACAGGACGAGAATATTGTGAGTGCTAACATTCAAGAATGTCCATTTTGGACAGGTTATAAGAGGAGCCCAGAATCCAAATAAAGGCAGTGGGTCAGAAAATCAAGGAGGAGAAGGAGAACGAGCGTCCATGATCTAAGGAAGTCAATGCTGGGCAGCTGGAATTCAGCTCACCAACCAGGTCATCCCCATTGAAAAAAGACAAGAGGGAGGGGGACAAAAAGAGAGAGAAAAATAGACCCCAGAAAAAACAGTGGAAGGAAAACAGAAAGGCTGGACACAATTGATGATTGATGCTTTATCCTAAAGAAAGTGCAGGACCGGTCTCCAGTGGAATTTCTGAGCTAACAAGTTGAATTCTCCGTATATTGTACTGAATCAAGAGTTGGATAGTGATTGTTTTGGAAGACGCAAAACTCAAGACGAAAGTACACCTGTAGTCGTAGTAGTAGTAGTAGTACAGTTAAAGAGTTCAAATCAAATGCAAGGGAACTTGTTCTTGGATTCACATTTCTTGGATGCGGTTCTTGGTTACTTGTTACATCAATGTTCACCAACTTAATCGTACTTGTTCACCATCTGGCCGTTGGAGGATGCGCCAGCGGACATCAAATTTGTACTGCAAATGAGAACCGGATTTGGAATTGCATGCTAACGCTCCATCTAATTTCCATGAATTGTGTTAATAAACAAGAATGTTGAACTGAAATGATTGAACCCTTTATTTTGACGACTAAACTAATGTATAGTCATATGAAAATGGATGCAAGAAAATGAAATTTGAGTTCAAAGGTTCTTTTTTTAATCCTTAAAAAAAAGGGTTCTTTTTTTTTTTTAAGTTATGGGTGTTTTTCCCCCATTTGTTCCCTCTTTACCTGTCCATTGTGGTGCTTGACAGGCAAGCAGTACATGTGATCCTACATATGAATATATGATATCAATCTCGTGTCCCCTTATTGCAAATGTGCAATAATGCCACATGTTCGTTTCCGATGAAGCTCTAAAACAGCCTTTTAGTTTTGGGAACTAGTAATTAATAGTTTGCATTTAGATAAGCATATGTGCCGGATAATTAACTGAAATGACCAGGTGTAACTTGCAAGATGTCTTGTCCGGTTAACAATTCACCTACTTAAGAGCTACGGAATTAGGTTAGAGATGAGCTAGCAAACCATGCATTCTTTATTAAATCATTCTTTGATTGGAAGTTTTCGTTTAATCAATCATTTTGTGCAATCTACATTTAGGTAATTTTAGTCCATAACATAATGTAATTTTATATCTGCACACATCAAAAATTAAGAATGTTGAAAGCAAGACTATCGTGACGTGATACAACTATCTTTCTTCTTTTTCTTTTTTTTTCGTAATAACGACAAATGAGGAGTAAACTATCAGATCAGATAAATGCACTACTACACTCTTTTCTTTTAAAAAACAAGAAAATATAGTGCTTCCTTATATTATAATGTAAAGAGCCGAATTCGAATCCCAGAACCAGTACATGAAAAGGGACTGTTTCTGACCATTAAACTAACGCAGATAATTTACAACAATGACAAATGAGGGGTCAATTATTAGATTAGACAAATGCATTACTGTACTTTTAAAAAATATGTATATATATATATATATATATAGTGCTTCCTTATTTAATGTAAGGAGCCGAGCTCAAATCCCCAATCTAGTACATGAAAAGGGTCTGTTTCTTCTGACCAGTAAACTAACTCTGATGCTATCAATCTGCCACTTTTCCTTTCTGTATATATTCTAGAAGTCAAACAACTGTTGCACTGTGTGCCAGTAAGATTGAAAAGTTCACGCGGCTAACAAAGGAGTGCCCACGTTTTGGGACCTTGTGAAATGCAAACTGTGCACACTTGGCTCATAGAATAGTAATGCTTAATAAAAAAAATTTAGGTCAGACTTAAATGGATGGCTTGCCGATTTTTTCCCGTCTGTATATTTGACCTTTTATTATTTTTTTTTGGGTGTTAGTAAAGTAATGAAGTGGTGTTGATGAGATGAGCAGGCATCACTAGGATGGCAACGGGGCGGGGGGATTTTTCCCCCGTTTGGAAACGGGGCTGGGATGAGGGCCCGTCCCAACTCCTGTCCCGCCCTGTCTCGTCCCGCTATCCGTTTAAAAAATTATATATATGTGTACATAATTATATATATATATATAATTATATTATTAATTATACATGTCTATTAATAAAAATTATTAATTATTTATACTAAATTTATTAATACATTTATGTTAAATTCTTAACTACACTTAATACAATAACACTTTTTCTAAAAAAAGTACAATAATAATTTAGTGATTGTATTTGTATCAAAAGTGAAAATTTGATTATTTTAGTTATATTTGTTTTATCATATTAGATTGCATTCAAATAACCTTTGTTTAATTATTTTTATGAGTTTCAATAGTGAAGTTATAATGAATAATAATTTGGTGATGTGTTAATATTTTAGTACTTAATTATTTGCTCAAATTTAATTATAATGAAATTATATAATAAAATTTAATGAAATTTAATTTTAGTACTTCTCCTGCGAGTGCCCCCGCAGGGGAAGCTAAGGGCGGGGGACGGGACGAGGATGGGGGAATTAAAATGCAACGGGGCGGGGGTTGGGGGAGGTGTCCCCCGCCCACCCTCGCCCCATTGCCACCCCTAGGCATCACTGTTGTTGATACTCTTGGTCTTGAGACATATATATATACTAGTTTTTTGCCCTGACGCTGTGCGTCAGGTAGCTGGGATTTCTTAATTTACTATAATGGGTATTAGTCTGGAAAATTGGAGTGTGAGAGGAGTAATTAATTTACTACCGGAGGCACAGCAAAAACCAGGTGGTTCCTGATGAAATCGTTTTGCATGACAATATGGACAACTTGGAACATCAGGCAATACAGCAGGTTCTGTAGCTATTGTAGTTAATGGATCAGTCATAGCTCGTTTTCTAGACCGACGCTGCCTACGCAATGGTGGTTCACCAGCATCTAAATTAGTTGATGGAATCTCATTAGCACCATCAGCAATAGACGCACAGACATTTTGTTCATTTTCCTGCAAACCAGCCAAAGCGTACTTAAGGACCATGAATTCAGTGTGCCTAAGTCAGTCAATCTGACTTATAATAGACAAAAACTAATATCTCACCCACTGGTTAGTCTAGCCGGTAATATAAGTAGTCTAACATTTATTGCAAGGGGTCTAAACAACAATCTTATTGCATGAAAGATGCTCAAAATAAGCACAAACATACGGTTGGAAATTGCTCTACATTACTGAGCAATACTGCAGGCTCTGTAATTATTGTGGTCAATGGATTAGTCACAGAGCGTCTTGTACGCCGACGTCGCCTATGCAAAGATGATTCACCCGCATCTGAATTAGTTGTTGGAACCTCGCTAGCACCATTACCAGCAGACCTAGATACATCTCCTTGATTTTCCTTTAAAACACCCAAAGCATAGTTAAAGACTGTGAGTTTAGTATGCTTAACTAAGTCAAACTCGTTTGTCTTACCAAAGTACATGCTTAGGCGAAACCACCGTTAACATAAATAATTTAACATTTATTCCAAAAGATTTAAACAACAATTTATATTGCATGAGACATGCTCAAAATAAGCACAGACATACAGCTCGAAGGTGCTCTGCATTGTTCTCTGCAAATGGCAATACTGAGCCCGAACCTAATGAAGATTCAACGACGCCCATATTTGGCTGATTCACAGCATTTGGGTCATGTATATTAAAAGCCGTGACAGCTAATGTACACACTCCTAATGGCGCATCATTCTTTGTCCCATGCCGAGCAGCAGCACGTTGCTCGCGGCTCCTTCGATTTTTCTCAGCACGAGCCTCTTCTAAACTTCCATATACTCTATTCGGACCCATTCTCAAAGCATATTATACACAGCTCAAGCGGAAACCAAAACAAACGTCTAAAATGAACCATACAAAAGAACCACAGCAACAAAAATGAATTTCCAGCGAAGCCAATCAAACAGTGAAGTACTTTAAAACCAAAAGAAACTTTCTCAAGTTATTTCCGAAGCTGCGAAAGAAAACTAAGAAGAAAAATTAGAGCCAAAAAGAGATTGAGCTCACGGTCTAAGTTTGCTGAATAGTAAAGCACTTCAAAACCAAAAGAAACTTTCTCAAGTTATATTTGCTGAACAGCTGAGAACACAAGCAAGAAAACAATGAGAGCAAATTGGTGACCGAGAACGAGCAAAAGAGAACAAGAGCCATGCAGACCCACAAACCGCTTCGGACAGCAACGACCAACGACTCTAGAAAGAATGAAGACTCTAGAAAGCTTTTCAAGACATTTGCTGACCGCCCAACCGCCCACTAACTTAATAGTAATTGCTGACTACCAAAATGAAGAGCCACGCGGACAGAGCATTGCTGACTACCAAAATGAAATGAAGAGCCACGCGGACAGAGCATTGCTGACTACCAAAATGAAGAGCCACGCGGACAGAGCAAGGTTACAATGCAAGAGAGCCAGCGGACAAAAGCAAAATACCAGCAGAGCCACTGCCACCCATCAGCAAAGGACCAAAATGCCCCTCAAGCTCACACAAATCACGGTATAACCGGCTCATCTTGCACTATTCATAAGGCTTTGGACGCTTTATATATGTAAGACTAGGTTTTCTGCCCTGACGCTCTGCGTCAGGTAGCTAGGATTTGTTAATTTACTACCATGGGTATCAGTCTAAAAAATTGGAGTGTGGAAAGAGTAGTTCAAATGACAAGAGAAGCTCTAGTAGGATTTGTTAATTTACTGCACGCGGTCGTGTTTTTTGCCCTTTGTTAGATATAGTGTTCATGTATGTGCATGGGGAACGGAAATATTGATGAATAGATTTAATGACAATCTTAATTATGACTCAAAAGCTTTAATACAAACAAAAAGAATGTTAAAATGATGGAACGAGTGCTAATACGAGTGCTAATTTTTTTCAAGTTCTGCAATTTTCTATGTAAGGCATAGGAGCATAGGATAAAAAGATACATTTATAGAAGAAATAGGTAAAGTACCACCTGATAAAATGGCAGATGTGGTAAAACATTTCCAAACAAGATCATGCGTTAAAAAGGGGAAAAAGAGGTATCGTAAGCAACATACGGCGTAATTACAGCAAGACTAAGCATCAGGAATCATTGTCGTCCTCCATCCATACATGCAAATAAGAAACAAATCCCAATAAGAAGTAATGGCTGCTTCTTCCTAGAATCAATTATTTGCAGTCTAGCAGAGAATTCAACAGGAAAACAAGGAAAGGAAAAAACACTGCCCAGAGAAGGCTAAGAAAAGAATAAAGAAAAAAGACAGGAGAACGAGGAACGGAAAAAACACCTGGTAGAGAAGGCAAAGGAAAGAATAAAAGGAAATAATGGAGACAAAGTTGAGAAAACAATAAGAAAAAGTAATGGGTCGGAAAACTCTGAAGTGGTGCGAGCTGCATCCAGCTCAACTCACAGACAAAATTGCTCCTGTCCAAGAATAGCACGCGGACGGTAGTGAATTTTCAGCAGAGCCACTGCTACCCATCAGCAAAAGACCCAAATGCCCCTCAAAGCCACAACAATCACGGCATAACCGGCTCATCTGCACTGTTCATAAGGCTTTGCACGCTTTATATACGTAAGATATGTGTGTGCGCGCTTTTTGGAGTGCCTGAATAGATAATGAGGCCCTGTCTATCCGACCTTTTTGATGATCACTTTTATGTTTGATAGTTAAATGCTATATGAAATTAGGTGAGCAAATTCTATGATTTGCATAGATTGGACTGTAAATCAATATCACTATTACAGTGTTTGCATTCCTCAAAAGAAACGAATTATGTATCCAAAAAGAAGAAGAAGAAGAAGAAGAAGGGGGAAAAAGTATGAAACAATTACGGAATATATATCTTTTATTTGGAGAAAAGAAAATGTATCCGGTTAAGAACTGAGGGGGAATCAAGGGATAGTGGTTAAAGAAGATAACACCTATTATTCTTCTCACTTTTGTTATTAAGTTTAGAAATGGCTGTAAAGTCTTACAAGGAGAAAAAGAGAATGGAAAGGATTTGAGAGCTAGATAAGGAAATATAAACCTAACGATTATTCAACTAATACTTTTTGGATAATTTTTTTTTTTACACTAGCAAATTTAGATCAATGTCGCATAACATGAATTCAAATTTGAATTTCAAATCATACACACGTGGCATACATTTAAAATTAAATCACACTGACGAATTGGGATTTAGTAATTTGTTACTCTTTTTTCTTCTTTTATTTTCTTCATTTTTTAAACTCTCTTTTCTTCTTTATTTAGAGAATTTCAAACAGAGAAAGTTGGGCTCTCGTTGCCACGTCCCATTAAACGATGAGGAAGCACTGACGGGTTGTCAGGCCCACGATCTCTACGAATTTGTGGCCAAAGCCCGCAGGAATCAGAGAGTTTGAGCGGCGATCCGAATCGGTGTGTTACTTTGGTTTCCACAATAGCCAATATATATATATTTTTTTATTTTCTTTTAAAACTACAAAACTGTTCTTTGTCCCAAGATCCAAATGAAACGTTAGGCACATTAACAGGGGCGGCAACCTTGATTCCCTTAATTCGAATGGATTTCTATTGAAATATGAGAAGATTCTATGATCCTTCTAGCGAATCACTCCTTTAATTTTTATCTCTTAGTCGTAATAATGATTTCAAATTTTAAATGATTAAAATTAATACAATCTAAGAGCTCAAAAATACTTATTTCACTATTTAACAATAAATATAACTTGAAACTATGATACTCAATGGAAACTTGTGAACTCGATCTTCTTGAAATTCAACCTTCGTTGATTGGGGAAGATTGGGAAAGGTTGCTGTGTTCTAAAGTATGGAGTCCCAACCCATTAGAGATGTGAAGCGTAAAAAGTATTCATATGACTGTTGCTACATTTAGATGCAGCATTTTAAGCGGATTAATTAGATTTGGATAGACATCCCCTTAAGGGCGCCTCTGGGAGTTGAGGATTTGAACGGAAGCAAAAGGGAAAGAAGAGAAAGTTTGATCTTCTTTTGTTTGGTAGTTTTAAGTAGGAAAGAAAAGAAAGGAAATGGGAGGATGAATAGTGACTAAAATATTTCCTCCCAAATTGGAAGGAAATTGAGAGAGATTTTGGAGAAAGCTTGTTAATTTTTCTAAAATGCGAATTTTGTCCTTAAAAATGTCTTGAACAAATATTTAATGACTTCCATATCCAAAATCATTCCACTAATTCTCAAAACTCCCAAACAAGATAACACTTTCTTCTCTTCTCTTCTTTCATAACTTAAGCTTTCCCTTCTTTTCTTTTCTATCCTAAACTCCCAAACTAAGCCTAGGACTCAGGCTTCAGTTTACACATTTTTTTTTTATTGGAAAGTACTTGATCAACAGATCTTGCCCTCTCAAGCAGGCACCCTTAAACAGTTGAATTCGTCAACCCCTTATTATTTTTGGGTCTGAAACGTTTGTCCATATGATTGACAACTTGAATGCAACAAAGTCAAATGAGATTATTGCCAAGCAACTCAGGGGTGCATTTATCTGAACTTGCAAGCATTCAAATCAATAATCATTTTCGCTGCAATATGTGAAGTCCAAGCTTACCACTCTCCTACAAGAAAAGAAGAGAAGAGACGAGAAGAGCGAGAGAAAAAATTCTTAGGATAAAGTCATCTTCGGTTTGGATTGCTACTTTTTGGAGTTATATTAGAAAAAATCACTGTAGCGATTTGATATATGTGAAATATGAACGATTTCTTCAGCTCAATGAACAGTATGGTACAAGAGTTTCTTGTACTCGACTTGAAAATACTCGGCCTTTTCAGACGAAGCGCTTTCTTTAAAAAAATCTTTTCCCCCAAAGTAAAAAATTTTTAATAGAAAATTTCAATAGAAACACACCAGCTATAGTTTGAAAACTCCAGATAGGAAGCATACCGTTTAGGCTGAGGAGGCATGAATCTGCTCAAGAATAGAGTCACACGGTGAAATAAAATCCTTAGATCCTTTATAGATGAGCATTACATATGCCAAAACAAAAGCAAACGTTCAGAGAAAAGAATGTAGGTAAATGGTGCCAGTTGTGTATAGAATTCGATCACTACTAGAGTCTGAGGCAAGGTTTTTTGGTATTGGCATAGAAACTTCTAACAATATGATTTTTAAAGTTTCATTTTCTACAAAAAAATAATCCACATTTTCGAAGTTCAAAGCTATCATATTTATGTTGTCGGGTATCTTTTGAAAATAATGCCATCTTAAAATGCTGATCGTCTTTAAAAAAAAAAAAAAAGGAAGCTCTTCTGGAGAACGAAATCTTGGGGAAGTCAATGAATCATTTCTATCTTTACTTTACCCACAATGACAAGCTAAAGCAATGAATTAGTCCAAATAAAACTGTCAGCTACGAAAAAGAATTTATAATTTTTTTTTCTCAAAGAAAAGGAATTTATAATAGAAAATTGAAAATCTTGTTTCCTAAAACACATTTGGTAGACCACCTCAAAGGTTCAAAAGTTGTATTTTTCATTAGTTCTAACAACAACTTTACACGATAAAGGAAAATAGAACCAATTATTCCATGCAATAAAAAAAAAAAGGAAGAAGTTTTCTTGTCGATAGACACAAAAAAGTCGTCCTATTCTACCATCCTCATCCCTCTTCCTAGTCTTCCCATCGACATCCTTAATTATGAAAATTGTTAATGTATTAATCTCTTTTGCACCTTAATCATTTCGTTGCTTCAAGAATTCAGTGTATGTGGTACCTTAAAACGTATATATCACGATTAATTATTTGTTGATTTTGCTGCATTCTTTTGGTTTTTTTACTAATGCAACTTGTCCCCTGTGCTGTTTACTAGTACTACTATTATATTTTGCTTCCTCAACTTGCTTCTTTTAAGTTGACAAGTGCTCCAACCATATTGAGTGCAGAATTGAATGTTTACAAGATTTCCCAATAAAAAAAAAGAAGAGAGAGAGAGAGAGAGAGAGAGAGAAGAGAGAGAGAATAGGTCTTGCATTGCAACCTTCGTCTATTTTAGAGTGTCAGCTAGCAGTATAACAATGGATTACGCATTATCTTGAAGGAAAGAAAACTTCAAGAAGGTTGAATATTAGTAAGATCAAGATCTTCAATATCATAACC